CAATGGCTGTGCTTTTGTTTTGCTTTTTCGTGTCGAAATTTATCCTGTGCATGGTTAGTGATCATATGATAAGGTCGAGTTTTGGTTTTATGGACAGAATTTGGGAATTATTGTGAGTGAAGTGCTGGCGGGAGACTGGGAAAGGCGGTCTGCTCAGAGGTAGGAAAATCCTTAATGATTTACCTGTATGTTCAAATATGCCATGTATAAGCTAAAGAAAAGTTTATCCAATATAATTCGCGTTTCATCTACACCAATCAAATAAGTCTGCGATATTTGAACATGATTCCTGGGACAGAAACCTTTTCCAATGTGTAAAAATTATTATAGTTTGTGAAAAAATATTGAGTTCTGTTTGAACGAAGGAGGGTTTTAGCTTAACTGTGTGCGGCCAAGGTATGGTAACTTTGTTTATTTAGCTTGTTTGGGAACAGTTAGAAGTTGGATGAGCTGGCAAGTTTTGTTATACAAAGTAAATTGGATAAAAGTCTAGGCGCCAATTACTTATACAATGATTCATAAAAAAAAGTATTCCAGCGGGAACTTTATACTTAGGGGAGAGAAACTTGAATTACAAAGGTATTCGTTTTCTTTGAATCATTATTAGGTGAAAAAGCAGTTTTTTTCCCCTTTTTTTTTTTCTTTTTTTTTTTTTCTTTTCATAGTCGCAGGTAGACTTAATTTTCGGAAGTTGACTTTGAGATAAGGTATAAACTGGTCAACGTGTGATTGTTATTGGAAAGAAATAATGCCGGGTGTGTAATCCACAGGGTATTTATGTAACAGAAGACTTTCGTTTTGACGCAGGTATGTGCGTGCGTGCGTGTGTCTCAGTGTATATTTTATATGTGTGCGTCAGTAAGTGCGTGTGCGTGCTTTCAGGCTTCCTTATCAAAGCAGGTTACTCGCAGCGAAGACCCCGGGAGGCAGAGAGCCCAGGATGCTGCAGAGCGTTATCCCGGAAGCGACGAGAGATAAAGCTGAACATTCGGATTCTTTGATGCGTCTGCGTTTTTGTGCTTGGGCGACAGGAAATGCCGAAACTCCTCAGTCAGATGTTTTTAAAGCCTTGATTCTTTTCCCATTTGAAGGCTCGTAAAAAGATTTCAGTCGTTTTCATATGAAGTGGCGTAGGGTCGACGTGGCTCCTAGTGCGTGATAAAAAAAAAAAAGTACCAGCATTATGCGCTTAGAGTCAACGCGGTGATGTCGCGGCCGTCGCAGTGAGGCGCCGCGGACCTCCCCCAGCTGGCCCGGCAATGTAAACAAGCGGAGCGGGAGGACCGACCGCTTAAACGCGCGCCGGCGCCTTCCCCCGACACCCCAAGATCGCTTTGGTGACGCCCGCTCCCGAACCGACCGACGCTGCCACCTGCATTTCCCTTCCGCCAGTGCCAACAGCTCGGAGCAACCGCCGCTGTTGCCAGCCTCGTCGCAGGCCCCGCCCCCCCGCTCTTATCGGCAAACATCGATTATAACAACACCACGCCCACGCCCCGCGCCCCACGCCCGAGCTCGCCGAGATCGAGAGAACCATTTGAATTTATCGATCCGTAAGAAACAGCTGTAATCATCCTTTTTTTCTTTTTTAATCGTTTGTCTCGGTCTTTAGATCCGGCGGAAAGGGAATGGCTGATGGCAATTCATTAGCAGTAATGAACGTGTACCAACGCGAGAGGTCAGAGGTCAGGAGACACGAGTCTAATAAAGATAGCCAGCTAGCCCTCAAACACAACAGCATACACTTGCCTAATATGTCCCCCCGACTCGTACATCGGCAGTTCAGACGCTCTATGGATGTCTGTGTGCAATCGGCTGGCTGCGTGTGTGTGGCAAGGCCAGATGCATGTTCGTGATGAAGAGTTAATAAGAGCCTAAGCTCGATCTCAAAAGCTCTCAGAATTCATGTCGAAGTTCGAAAGGAATCGCGACTACATAGGGGGTTCCATGTGGCTTTTATTTATTTACCTCTGGACATGCGCAGTTGGTATTGTAGGTGTGTATGAAAACTATATACGCACATGATAGACACATACACAGGCAGATTCACACACACATATATACATACACATATATATATACATACACACATATGCACACACACACACACACAACACACACACACACACACACACACACACACACACACATAATATATATATATATATATATATATAATATATATATATATATATGTGTGTGTGTGTGTGTGTGTGTGTGTGTGTGTGTGTGTGTGCATTAGTATTTTCTTCTTCCTCTCCTGACCTCACTTGTCCCTCTTTTATTTTTCATTTTTCGTTTTTGTCCTCTCCCAAGGCTTATCTCCCACCATGTTTCCTTATCGGTTTTCCTGTCGCCACATCCATACATCTACCCTCTACCGGACCACGCCCTTCCCCATGCAAAGCGCGGCGTCACACACTCACCGCCACGCCCTCTGTGTTCCCCACTAAACTACACTACAGTACACCCTTTGCACTACACTCTAGTCGTGTTGCTG